CAGATTTCAAGCTCCATTGTGGATAGAGAATGATGTGATTGGTTTTCTGTAAAGTGTTGCTGAATAGGTCAGCGCTCTATAAATGAGTAAAATAAATACATCTGCATCTGCATTCACACACTGAAGTGGAGCTTTCATGAGCTATAATCAGACTTTCTTCTCCCATACCAGTTTTGTTGTTCACATTTCCCAGTGGTAGCAAAATTTAGGCAGGTGTTTATTAGCACAAATTAAGCAATCAGTTACTGTATGCTCTACCGTCATGACTAACACAAATGTATAAACCCTAAAGTTACCACTGATTGCTTGGCAGATCCAATTAAACACCTGCTCAGGCCTAGTTCAGCAAATCATTAAAATAATTAAATCCATAAAAAGAATTTGAAATCTTTAAATTTTGCTGCATTATTTTCTCATCCCTCAAACCTTTGCAGACATGTTGTGTTTCAATGAACATTATGTTCTTTACATATTTTAATTCCACTGTGGAGAACTCATGTTAATGTTTAGTTACTGTTTTTTGAGAAATACTGTTACATGTTTGTTATTCAATTTTGTTTCTCAGATCACAATTTGAGTATCTTTTGCATAATAAAGTGCATAGGCTACATGATATTTTCCAGTAGTAAAATAAATTAATAATAAAGAGTAAAGAGCCATATCCAAGGGAAGAGTTGTCTCAGACAGTACGCTTTAACACATAACCAGTTAGATTTTTCTTTTAGGAAAGGGAGAATCTGATTGATATTGGAGCAACAAGGACTACCTGAGAAAATCAATCCCTGATAAATGAGGCTCAAAGTTATACCCTCTGTGAAATCAAAGCCATAATTTTTGTGTTGCAGTTTGTGCCAGTTGTTCCGTTACACTATGCTACACTAAAAAAATGACAAAAGCACCATGTATCATGTACCTTTATGCGTTACAGCTAGTAATCTGGTAAAACATCCATGCTGACTTGATATAGTATATACTGAATAGCCATTATTGTCAATTGAATCTAGTATTTGAATTAAAGCCCCTCCAGTTAGATGATTTTACCCGGTAAAGTATACATTTTTAAAGGAGAACTATGGGGAGAGTGCAATGCACTCATCCCCATAGTTAGAGCTGATGTGTGACACTGCAGCTCTATAGATCTAGAACTGAGCAATCACAAACCACTGATCTCTCAGTTCATGATCTTCTCCCTGTAAAGAGTGTTGACTGTCAGTCACCTCTCTCCGCAGGGATTCCCCTCTCCGTTCCTCCAGTGCTCATTTCAGGGACAGACAGGGGAGGGGGCGGGCACAGCTGGCTTTGGTTCCAGAGAGGCAAAGCCAGCTGTCAATCAGGCAGTGGGGTGGATTCCAACAATATTGTTAGGATCTTTCCTGGCTGCAGAATGGCTCTGCGCTGTCAACATATAGTAAGCAGTAGCTCACTATTTGCTGAGTTTTGGGTCACAGGAGTACATTAGTAAATGTCGTCCTGTGACCCAAAAGAGAACTAATGTCAAAAAAGGTTTAGCCATAGTTCTCTTTTAAAGATGTGCACCAGTTCCACGGGCACATCCTGGTCAGTGGCAGATTTTACAAGTTGCATTGCACACAGAGTGGGGCCAGCCATCAATCTGATCTGTGGGGCTGGGCTGTTGGTTTGGCATTTGGGTCCAGTTGTAAGTATCAGGAGTGCAGACAGTGGCAGGAATACTGAAATTAAGAGCAAGGCACAGCAGAATTCTGTAGTCTGCACTTACAAATCCCAACCTGCACCCCTATTGCTGAGATATACAATTTAATAGTTTTTTATCCTATTTTACCATGCAAAAAGTTTCACTTACTTGTGTGATTCTAGATATGCGTGATTCTTTGTTATGTACTTTTTGTGCCTTTAAGGCCTTACATACTGTATATCTCATTATTGGACAATATTGCGCCTAGGTGCTTCAGGGGGTCAAAAGTCCCAAACACCTGCTCTAATTGGAGGTAAATGAAGATCAATACTTAATGAATATAGCACTAATATTTAAATTTAATTCAGAGGAAACTAATAAACTGCACCCTGAAGAATGCACATTGAAAAAGCTAAACCCCCCCCCTAAATGTGTGATGGAGATGTCTTTAGAATTTCTCTGAGCCACCAAACTTGGTAAAAGTAAAAACTATTTTTATTACAATCCAAGAAACACGTGTAATGTACAAATGTACGTATGATTTGATTCATATGTACATATGTACAATACATGTATAATACTATTGATTGTGCCCCGCACAGGCATTGGGATTGCAATAAAAAATGTTTTATTTTCACCAATATTGGTGGCTCTGAGAAATTGTAAAGACATGTCCATTACCCATTTAGGGGGGTTTTAGCTTTTTCATATCTCATTATTGGCACTCCCACAGATTAGAGGAGAACCACACTTAATAGATTCCCCTTGATGTTGCACATTCATTTCACATATATTCACATACATTTGCATGTGTATGCAACTCTTGCTGTTGATAGGTTGTCTTTATCTTTGCAAGTATAAGCCAGTTGAAAGTAACTAAAACTGCTTGAAAAATGCAGTGTATATGACTAGAATTAGAGTTTACCTCGTAGCATACACTTCATTACTGGAAGAATTAAGCCCAGTGTCTGTTTTCTCAGTCATACTTTATTTCTATTTCTATAAATGTAATAACAAAGCAACGTGTATGGTGAGTGAAAGCTGTGGTTCTATAATGTAGCAAGGATACAGTATGATTGCTGGATTAAAAATAAGACTCAACTAATCACAAATCTATAGGTGGGTGGGTAATGTTCAACGAAACTGCCGATACGTAAAAGATGAGTAGCTACTCAAGTCACTGGTGAACTGGTAAAGGGCTCATTGGTACCCTTGTATTTTCGTCGACAAAAAAAACAGTGTAAAAATGATTTCAGTTTTGTTGGTATCATTCTATCTCCAAATTTGACAAAACCTTGGCTGAAGCTCAGGTTATTTAAATCTTATTGTCAATGGGAAGCATAAAATATTGCTGTCATTGACTAAACAAATAAAGCAGAATGTATTTTATCCAAAGATATAGGGGTTTATTTACTAAAGGCAGTTAGGCTTTTCACTTTGCAAGGGGATTATTTCATTAGCTTAGTAAATATGGTGAATATTTACTTTGCAAAGAATATCCAATTATGCACAAGGAAGAAAACATGAGGCTGTTACTGATTAAAATGTTCGTGTTCGATTAATCGAAATGTTTTTAAATCGATTAATTAATTAATTTTGATTAATTATAACGCACATACAGATCCAACTACATTGGCCTATACACATACAGCACAGCAGTGAAGTAATAAAATGAACTAGGATCACAGTAATCCAACACGTTATTAATCTCAGGTGCCCCACTCAATATGGTTGCCGCTTGAGTGGGACAACTCAGAATAAATACGTGCTGGATTAGTGTGATCCTAGTTCATTTTATTACTTCATTGCTGTGCTGTATGTGTATAGGCCAATGCTTACTTCAGAAATAATAATGCTATTAATCATAAATTTTCATATCCTCCTATTTTATTATACTATTAAATAGTGTCACGCTGGGCTCCCTATAGAGTAAATCTATTTCCTCAATAATTTATCACTCAAGGCATACCGCTGTTCCACATTCCTTCAAAAAACTTCTGCTACGTGCCGCCAGGGAAGCTGTGATTGGCTGGAAGTGACAATGACTGAAGTTGAAATACCATTGGGCACTTTCCTTGAGAAGATCAAATATCTTTTATGGGCTCATTCCATCATGCGGTGCATAAGAATAATTATGATGCGCAAAGTGCATTAACCCCTGGCAACCGCCACATTCTGGTCTATTGGATTACATGAGGCAAATTCTTACTTGTTGATAGAAGTTCCTATACTTTGTTCTTATCAAAGAGTTTGTCCCCCTTTCCCGTGCTCCCCTTCCCTGTCTGGAGACCCCTGCACTGTGTGTATTTTGCTTTTTTTATAGTTACCTTTTCCTTGTGTCTTCAGGCCAGTCATGACATAAGCGATGTCCTCTTGCTCTTCAAAATTTCCCCAGCCATGGGTAGACCTCACGATCACGAGTGGCACTGAGTGGCACACAAGTGCAGCCGGTCCAAGTGGCTCCGTCTGCTAACGAAGGGAAGGGGGGAGGAGTCAGGGGACGTCACGGACATCAGCGTCACCGGACTCCTCCCCCCTTCCCTTCGTTAGCCGTCACAGACATCGACCTCACCAGACTCCTCCCCCCTTCCCTTTGTTAGCCCACGGAGCCACTTGGGGAAGGGGGAGGAGTCCGGTGACGTCGATGTCCGTGACGTCAGCGGATCTCCAACGGAACTCCCGGAAGACCCGGAAGCCAGCGGAGAGGTGAGTACCGATCAAAAAAAATGTAATCGATCAAAGAAATTAACGATTAATCGAGGAATTAATCGTTAATTTTGGGTTGAGTGTTTTGTAGCTTGGGTTGAGTGTTTTGTAGCTTGCATTTTGTTTTGGCCAATTGTAACTTGTAGATTTGCAGGGGTACACCAGAGTTCTATATGCAGTCAAATTCATTCAGCTGTTTTTTTTTTTGCTTAGTGGCCCTAAAAATGTATTCTGCTTGCTAAACAAATATGTGATATGAAATTGAATTGAATTGAATATAATTTAATTGTGTTTGTTTCTTGTCTGACTTAATTCATTTTATGACCTTTAAAAATTAATTTTAGAAATGTAATAGTCATTTGTACTACACACTATGAATTATGAGTTTAATTGTTTTAATCAGAAAATGGGTTTGAATATTAAAATGAACATTAAGCTTTTAAAATATGATTTTTTTTTTAAAGAAGGCTTTTAGAAACTCTATAGTTTGTTGAAAACTGCTAAAATTACCTTTTATTTAGTACTGTATAAACAGGGTATGTAATGTATTATCATATATTTTGTGCTGCAATATAAAAAAATATGGGTTAACTATTATTAGTGTTCTTTTTTAATGTATTGTCTTTCCTACTAAATGAAGGAAGAAGATGCCATTCCATCATGTGACTGCTGGCTTGTTGTACAAAGGGAATAACTACTTGAACCGATCACTTTCCACAGGAAGTGATAGCGAGCAGCTTGCCAACATCTCAGTGGAAGAACTAGATGGTAAGGTTAATATTGTTTATTGGCAGTGATGCCTCACAAATTCACATTCAGTGTACTTTTCTTAGATGCTATACCTATTTTTACAAAATAAGCATGTATTTTCTTGTGGTAGGCAAGTGCATCCTTAAATAGTGACATTACTGGTTTTAGACTTTGGATAGCTGTATTGGAATTAATACACATGGGTCTATTCACTAAGCTGCCGAAGGATCTAGCCGTAGCTTCGGCTGATCCTTCGGCTAGCTTCGGCCCCAGGACCCCTTCGGTTCAGTAGCCCGTACAGCTCCCGAAGTTGGCCGAGCGGCCCAGTCAAGCCGAAGGTATATGCCTCGGCTCGAATGAGCCATGGTGGAAGCCGAAGCTGGCAGAATGGCCGGCCATTGGCCGCCCGACAGCCTGCTTCTGACAGCAGGGCGGAGCCAACCGTCATCTTACGGCTGGCTCTGGCCACTTTCAGAGAGATCAGCGTCCCTGGTTACCTGCTAACCAGGGACGCTGTCATTACACACTGAGAGCGGCCTCTTCGTGTTCTCAGTGTGTAATGAAAGATGGCGTTCCTGGTTACCTCGTAACCAGGAACACCATCTGTCATTATTCTCCCGGACGCTCTGGAAGTCTAATACGACTCCCGGCCGCCCGGGAGAGAAACACTTTCTCCCGTCAGAATAAAAAAAAATCACCATAGGAATGCATAGCTAGATTCCTATTGGCTATTTCAATTTGCACTAGCCAATAGCAAACTAGCTATTGCACCCGCACACTGCTGCTGTCAATCAGCAGAGGGGGACCTGCAGTTCTCCATCAGGTCCCCCTCTGGTGATTGACAGCAGCAGAGGGCGGGTGTATTAGCTAGTTTTCTATTGGCTATTGCAAAGTGAAATAGCCAATAGGAATCTAGCTATGCATTCCTATGGTGATTATATTTCTTTTTTTA